CGATGCCTCTTATCCTCTCTACCTCGACAATATGCTTCCTTCCTCCCAGACCTCTGCAACAGCATCAGGACATCGTCTGAGTCTGGCGCCGCCGCTCTCTTTCTCGTGATGCCCTCCCTGCCATTTGTCTTCCGGGCGTCCTCACGTAGACCCAACCTCCCCCATCTCCGTTACACAAAAACAGGGCGCATCTCATGTTTACTGCTTCCGTCACCCCTTGGTTTTTTATTGACCATTCCTCCACAGGCAATCCCGTCCTCTCCACTCAGGAACAACATCCCCAGCGGCGGCGTCAATGCCTAAACATTTCCTAAGCTCTTCCCGAGTGCCTTTACCCCTCCTCACTTCATTCTGCACTCTTCCCCTCCCTTGTAACAGTTCTATTTATGTCAAGCTTGCCTAAACCGCCATCTCCTCTATGGGATCCTCTGCACTTCACTCCGCAGCTTCCACACGGAACGGTCTTCACCATCTGTGCAGGTGCCCCCCTCAGCTTCACACACGCTGGGGCCTATGGTCTTTGCCCCACATAATATCTTTATTTCTACAAGTACTGTCAAGGATACAGTCCCAGTGGGGCAACAATGAATACTATATATAGAAAGCCCCCTTGTTTGACCGCATGTTGGGGGGAATTTGGTCAGTGTCCAGGAAAGCGACCCCACACCCGACTAACACCCAGGTACCCCTTTTACTATGAGGCAAGCAAAGGTGGAAAGAAAAAACCCCCAAGTTTTACTCGGCTGGGGGAAGAACCCCGGGCCCGCCATGTGAACAAGAGCGTTTGCCCCCAGGCCCCAGAACGCAGGGCTCTCGTCAGGCGTACGAACCATAACTTCATCCTGAAGTCCTCCAACACGATGTAAGATGGTAGGGGGGTCTCGATCATCTTCAGGGAAAAGGTTCCTCCAAAACCCCTGTAAAACACCAGCCGCCCCCTTGCCGTCGTGCCAGATTACTCCCCCAAAGCCCGAAAACACTACGGTCACCTTTCTGCCCCAAATGGGACATTACGAATCTTAACCCCTGTAAAGTGGGAGATACGTCGATTAAACGCACCTTCACAGCTGGATAGCGTCAAGATCACGTCTTGGAAACTTGCACCCCAAAAATATACAGGACGGGGGAATTCATTTGACGAAAATTCTGTATGCCCCCTTCAGGCTACACCATACACCTCCTCATCCTGTATGCCTACTCTCCCTAATGATGGTCGGGGAAAAACACTGGAGATTGGGTGGAAAAACGCCCCCGGCAGCTCAAAGAAAAAGATATTTACCGAGCCCCACACTCAGCGCCATGTTGGTACAAGTTGCTCGCTGAAAACAGCAGAGGGGGGCAGAGACAACCCCACCTACGCAGAGCAGTGAATCAACCAATTAAAATAATAGATACAGCAAAGAGACTAAAAGGCCATGGTAACAAATAGTATCCTCAGGACCACTAAAAAATAATTATGAAAAATAGTTCATATTGAGATTAATAACCTAGGGGGAGACCAAAAAGTATACAAGAGCGCTTATCAATCTGATAAAGAAATCTAAACAACTATATTATGCTTGAAGACTTAAGGAAAAAATGGGGATATAAAACCCATGAAAACCCTCTCACAAATCATGGGCTCTCGAAAACCGGCCAAAACCAAATGAACCTCACATTCAGCTTACTGAGACAGCCAGCATACTAAATGATATCTTCCCTACTATTGGATCAAGACTAGCTGGCGAGGTATACGCCAGGCAAAATCCCAACTACTAACGCTCAGGCAACTGACTGTGTTACTGGAAGTTTTCCGAACTTACTTTATCCAGCTAATCCCCTCAAGGAAGGTTCCTTGATGTTGGTGAGGGGCTTTTGATTTAGGGAATTGGATCTGTGCTCCAGTTCCCCGAATTAAGCCTGAATGCCTTCCACATCCCCCCCCCAGGCGCTGTATAATCCTCTGGGTTTAGCGCTTCCCCCTTGATTATAATAATAATAATATCCAGCTAATCGTACTGAAGTTATAATTACGATCAATTCACTGAAAAGCAAGACAGGAAACCTAACTAATTTGCCACCACTAATGTACATAAAGGCAGCTCTAAGTATAAGTGATGATTTTTTCCTGTTATGTCCTTTCAACGTTTGTCCCATTCATACTCATGTCGCTGGGCAACTGATCAAAGCGCATGCATCAGCGTTCTTATCCTCTCTCTGGAATTCTACAGCTTGTGAAAGCCGGTTACTCACTCAGTTGAACTTGGATGACTGGTTCTGTCGTGGTTTAGATATGGGGTTCATCTGACATAACTGGGAACATACTGTTCCCGTTTCTATTTCGGAGGAACATTTATTTCTTTTCCAATTCTCTTCCAAATATCCTGGAAGCAGGACAATTACAATGGACACTATGGTGGCCCTATAAACTAACAAAAACAACAACACAGTTTTAGTGAGGTGTTGTTTGTCAACAGTGACAGATGGTCTTCCATGCCAACCTTCGTCGAGTGTAGACGTTTCGCTCTCGCCTGAGCATTAGTAACAAATTTTCCGCGTTCTCTCTGGGATACTTATTATTTTTCTATTTTGTCTGTGGCACGTTACAGGAGGGGCACCCGTCCCTGGATTTATTTTAGCCAGGTTCATTTTTTGCCCTCTGCGGATATTTATTTAAGTTTTGGTGGGAAACCAATTACTGAACTCAGGTGAAGTGTGAGCGTTTCGTCTGTTGAAGATTATCAAGATGTTCCACCGAATCTAATCGGGAACTTCTAGTTTCTGTGTCTATTTTACAAAAGGGGCACCAGTTTCTTCTTTTTTTCATGGCTCAGTTTGGGCAATAACTGGTCTGGGTAACACAGGGAAGCTGGGCGCTGTAAGCTGTCTGTTCGCCCTTACAAACATAACAAACAGTGGGTTGTTGTGCACAACCTGCTGCTGCTGTACCACTGTACTGCTTGCACCACTGTAATGCCTGCTGCACCACGTACGCTGCTGCTGTACCACTGTACTGCTACTGCTGTACCACTGTATCTGCTGCACCACTGTACTGCTGCTGCTGCACACTGTACTGCTGCACCAAATGTACTGCTGCTGCTGTACCACTGTACTGCTGCTGCTGTACCACTGTACTGCTGCTGCTGTACCACTGTACTGCTGCTGCTGTACCACTGTACTGCTGCTGCTGTACCACTGTACTGCTGCACCACTGTATGCTGCTGCTGGCAACACTTATGCTGCACCTTTTTGTACTGCTGTGCTGCACACTTACTGCGCAGCTGCACCACTGTATGCGGAACCACTGTACTGCTTTGCTTTTCCACTTTACTGCTGCTGCTGACCACTGTACTGCTGCTGCTGTACCATGTACGCCGCCCTTTTGCGCTGCGGGCACCATGTACTGCTGAAACACTGTACGGCTGCTGCTGCCCTGACTGCTGTTGCTGTACCACTGTCTGTCTGCTGACACTTACTGCTGCCCCACTTTTACCACGACTGCTGCTGCTGTTGTACACTGTACTGCTGCTGCTGCACACTGTACTGCTGCCATGTACTGCGGCACCACTGTACTGTGCTGCTCCACTGTTTGCTGCTGCTGCCCCAACCGTACTGGCGTTGCTGAAACCACTTACTGCTGCTGCTGTACACTGTACTGCTGTACACTGTACCACTGTACTGCGCTGCTGTTGTACCACTGTACTGCTGCTGCTGCACCACTGTACTGCTGCACCACTGTACTGCTGCACCACTGTACTGCTGCTGCTGCACCACTGTACTGCTGCACCACTGTACTGCTGCTGCTGTACCACTGTACTGCTGCACCACTGTACCACTGTACTGCTGCTGCTGTACCACTGTACTGCTGCACCACTGTACTGCTGCTGCTGTACCACTGTACTGCTGCACCACTGTACTGCTGCTGCTGCACCACTGTACTGCTGCTGCTGTACCACTGTACCGCTGCTGCTGTACCACTGTACTGCTGCTGCTGTACCACTGTAACTGCTGCTGCTGTACCACGTACTGGTGTGTACCACTGTACTGCTGACCACTGTGCTGCTGCTGTACCACTGTATGCTGCACCATGTACTGTGCCACTGTATGCCTGACCACTGTGCTGCTGCTGCTGTACCACTGTACTGCTGCACCACTGTACTGCTGCACCACTGTGCTGCTGCTGCTGCACCACTGTACTGCTGCACCACTGTGCTGCTGCTGCAGCCACTGTACTGCTGCCCCACTGTGCGCTCGTCCACTGTACTGCTGCACCACTGTACTGCTGCCCCACTGTGCTGCTGCTGTACCACTGTACTGCTGCCACTGTACTGCTGCACCACTGTACTGCTGCACCACTGTATGCTGCTGCTGTCCACTGTACTGCTGCACCACTGTACACGTTGCTGCTCCCTGTCCCACTGTACGCGCACCACTGACTGCTGCTGCTGTACCACTGTACTGCTGCCCACTGTACCACTGTACTGCTGCTCCCTGTACCACTGTACTGCTGCACCACTGTACTGCTGTTTGCTGCCACCACTGTACTGCTGCACCACTGTATCTGCTGCTGCACCACTGTATCGCACCACTGTACTGCTGTGCTGTACCACTGTACTGCTGCTGCGTACCACTGTATGCTGACCATGTACTGCTGCTGCTGCACCACGTACTGCTTGCTCTTACCACTGTACTGCTGTGCTGTACCATTGTACTGCTGACATTTGTACTGCTGCTGCTGCCAACCCTGTACTGCTGCTGCTGCACCAACTGTATGCTGCTGCTGTACCACTGTACTGCTGCTGCTGCACCACTGTACTGCTGCTGCTGCACCACTGTACTGCTGCTGCTGCACCACTGTACTGCTGCACCACTGTACTGCTGTCTGCACCACTGTACTGCTGACCTTACTGCTGCACCACTTTTGCTGCTGCGTACCACTGTACTGCTGCACCACTGTACTGCTCACCACCGTGCTCCCTGCTCACCACTGTACTGCTGCCACTTACTGCGCACCTTGTACTGCTGCTGTACCACTGTACTGCTGCTGCTGTACCACTGTACTGCTGCACCACTGTACTGCTGCACCACTGTACTGCTGCACCACTGTGCTGCTGCTGCTGCACCACTGTACTGCTGCACCACTGTACTGCTGCTGTACCACTGTACTGCTGCTGCTGTACCACTGTACTGCTGCACCACTGTACTGCTGCACCACTGTGCTGCTGCTGCTGTACCACTTACTGCTGTACATAATATTACAGCTGCTTATAACCACAGAGGAACATATAATAATATTCAGGTGAGAGTTCAGTAATTTCCTTGTCATCATCTTAGAAGGAACAGCCGCCTCTTGTTTAAAATTTTTGTTACATTTACCTTACCTTTTACCTGGAGGTAAAAATATATCTTTTGCATGTGGGTTCACATCCATCAAGGCTTCTACATGAGTACCAGAATTATCAAGAATAAAGATAACCTTGAATGCAAGGTTCTTGCTCTGCTGGTAAAATTTGACCTTAGGAATAAATTGATATACCTTACCTTTACCTTTGAAGAGTTATGAGAGTTTCACTACTCTCGGAGCCCGACCATGGGTCAGGCTCGTCTGGTGCTTGCTTGGTCAACCAGGCTGTTGCTGCTCGATGCCCGCTATGGAAAATTTTATAGGGTTTACCTACATGTACCTCAACATTATATGCATACAAGTAATCTCATTGGGAGACAACAACCATATTGTTTACTGTAGTCACCCAGTGTAGACATGAGAAAACTTAACCACCCCTGGCCCCTGCAGGTGGTTCCTTCGACCTCACAATCTTTTCCATATCTATCCGAGACCAGTATGAATGGATAGCACCCACAAGTACGGCGCTACTAAATAATTGTGGACTGTATAGATTATATTAGTTTAACTGAACGAAGGGGGGGGTTAGGTTACACATGGATATATCCATCAGGGAAAAACACTTGTACATAATCCCACCACTTACCAGATATTCTCTGGGGGTCACTTGATGTAGCTGGATCACCCATAACCTATCCAATTACAACATAACTAACTGGCCAGTATCAGCCTGCAATAACTAGAAGGGTTACTTAACTGTGGGTGACTGATACTCCTTATTTCCTCCATTCACCATCTCATTTCGATGTCCTGCTACACCAACATGGTTCTTATTCCAGCAGGACGAGGTATTCATTGGTTTGTCCCAGTTTACAAGTCGTGACTCCATAAAAACTTCACTATCCTCGAGACAGGAACCACGAGGTCTAATGTGTTCACTCGGAGCAAGGCGACTTATTTCACTTCACGCATTCCCTTAACTTAGTGTTATTATCACTGATTACATTACAATTCACAAGATGATTTAATGTATCATAATTATTATGCACATTACCTGGAGTTTACCTGGAGAGAGTTCCGGGGGTCAACGCCCCCGCGGCCCGGTCTGTGACCAGGCCTCCTGGTGGATCAGAGCCTGATCAACCAGGCTGTTACTGCTGGCTGCACGCAAACCAACGTACGAGCCACAGCCCGGCTGATCAGGAACCACTTTAGGTTTTTGTCCAGTCCCAGTTTAAAGACTCCCGGGGTCTGTTGGTAATCCCCCTTATTTTGCGGGGAGGCAGTTGAACAGTCCGGGCGTGCCACTTATTGTAGGTTCTTAAGGCTGTGACACCCCTGCTTTTATTGGGGGATGTTGCATCATCTCCCAAAGTCTTTGCTTTGTGTGAGTGTTTTTTTGTGTGCAGTTTGGTACAGCCCCTCTAGGTTTTTCCCAAATGATATAATCAGTATCTCCCCGCCTGCCCTTAGGGGAAAAAGGGTTTGGACCTCAACGCTCCCAGAATTGAAGGTTTTATCTTCCGTAGCACGCCCCTGAAGGTTCTTTTAATTTTCTGGCAGCAATTTCACCTGCCTTGAAAAGGGCTGTTAGTGTGCAGCAATATTCCAGCCCAGATGAACAAGTGACCGAAGAGTGTCATCAGGGGTTTGGGTCCCTTGTTTGAAAGGGCTCAATTTTCCCTCCTGCATTTTTTTAGCCAAGCATCGATACAATGTTTTGGTCCTTTAGGTGAGATCCTCGACAGATCAACCCCCCGGTTTTGACGTTGGTGTTTCCTCTATTTTGTGGCCAAATTTGTTTTGTACTTGATGAAGATTTAAATTTTCCCCGGTTTACCTACTGATAAAAGAAAATTTTCATCGTTTTACTTCACATTGTTTTCTGCAGCCCACTGAAAGATTTGGTTTTTGTCGCCTGGAGCCTTGCAGTTCTGCAATGGAAGACACTGTCAGCAGTTGGGGGTCATTTCAAAGGAAAACAGGTGCTGTGGTGACATCTTGTCTAGTAGATATGAGGATGGGAAAAAAGATGGGGGAGATGTGCCTTGTGGAACAAGCTTTTCACCGTGCTGCCCCCGGGCTTACGCTGTTTTTATACTACCTCTGTGTTTGTTAGTGAGGGAAAAAAAGATCCAAAGATCTGAGACCGAAGTGATGATTAAATCATGGGTATTTTCCTTGGGGACACCCATGGCGTTGCCCAGTCACCACCAGTCCTACAAATTTTTCACTAATTTTACCCCTTTATACGGGGGTCCCTAAATACATTCCTTCAATCTTTTACCGGGAAAAGTTCGACATTCCTATTAAAGAAGTGAGGGGTAATTAATTTAGGCCACCGTGAATGCCAAATTTCCCGTCCCCTGCTTTCCAAGCCTCTTAACTCCAAAACTCCCCTCCCTGATGCCCCCTCTCGACATCTCCCCTTTCCCATCAGGAGGTGCAGAGCTTCCCCGTTGGGTTTTTTTTTAAAATAAATTTAAACAACAGTAATGTTAATCATGTAATTTACATTTAAAAAAAAATACGTATAATTATGGGAATTTATTTTCCACAACCCGCCCCCCAAATCCACATGCCGGGGTTGATATGGCATCTGATAAAGTTATTGCCATTTTCTCTTGAAGGTTTTACACTTTTTTCCACCCGTTTTTTCTGATATCTTTTGGTAACATTTGAATAGTCTGGGCCCTGAAGTTGATACGTGTTCCCTTTTTTCCCCCCATGCACCCCGCTCCTACTGGGTTTATTTTACCTTCCCCCCCATATCTCTCACCCAGTATTTGTTAGGGCAGTGTGCAATTTGGGAACAAGCCTCAAAATATTTAACGGGTATATATAAATGTATCTCTTCTCCTCCGCTTCTATGAGTAAAGATTGAGTTTAAAAAGTAATTTAGGTGCTTTACTGTCTCAATTGAGCCAAAAACAATCTCTCATTTTTTCCCAGCTCTTATTTTTTTTCCGCTTTGAAGGGGCCGTCAGCACGAGCAGTTTCTAAATGAGGGAGCACAGTGATTGAAGAGTTCACCATCGGGATTATTTCTCTTTTTGAAAATTCTTATACCCGCCATCATCTTCCCGGGTGTTGTGATTTTGTCTTGTTTGGCTTTAAAAGAAAAGGGCAGCTGACATAATTATTCCCGGGTTTTTTCGTGTTTTCCCTACTTCTATTTGGTGACCCCTTTGAGTTTTTGAAATAGTGTTTCTTTTGGTTCCTTTCATCCCTGCTGACCAAACCCTTTCAAAGCACGGGTTCTTAGAATAAAAAACCATGGGCTTTTCCCTTGAAAACACCTGAGCATTACTTACAGGAGCAAGGGAAAAAAACCTTTGCTGCCTGAAACTCAGGGGACGTTCACTTGCTGACGATGTAAGTTCTTTTTTAAATTTTATTCCAAAAAACACTTGTTCATAAGATTGAAAACTTTATGTGGCTTGTTGCTGCCCCCAGAAATAATTTTCCCGCAATTCAGCAGGAAAATTTCTTTCTCTGTATATCACTGAAGCACTTTTCAAACCCGAAAATTAAAAACAGCCCGTCCACACTTAGCGACTACCATTTACCGAGCCCCTACATACGACGGCTCTCCCGACCTATTTATACCTAAATAAAGTATTTAGAGCTGATTTTCTCTATTCTGTTTTTTTCAATATCAACACTATACTGTATAAACATTTAAAAATATACCAGAAATGTTATAAATGATGGAAAGGGACATTAAAACAAACAAAAATGGTTGACAGAAACCACTACCATTTAGTTGCCTTTACTTAGCAATGAATTTTTTTTTAAAAAACGTGATTTAGGAACAAGCTCCGTTTTAAACCCTTTTTGGGTCCCGGGCCCCAAAATTTCAAAGGGTGCACCAGTGTTCAAGAATTTTCAAAAAATAATTTTGCTATTTTTTCTTATGAAATGGTAGAGAATCCTTTTCTGAAGGTAATAAAACAAAACGTACGAAATTTGATGGAAAATTGACAAAATTATGCTCTCGCAAATTTTGATGTGTCAGCGATATTTACGCATCGGCGATTTTGCAGACTTTGACTAGCATTTTAGGCCAATTAAATTATTCAAATTGACGAAATTCTTAGCTATTTCACTAGTATTACTCCTGTTCTATCGATTGAGCACAAGAATTCGCCAAGTCAACTGTTTCAACTACAAATTAAAGTGATCTGAAATTGGTAATTTGGCCAATTTAATGAAAAGTTCAAAATTTTCTAATTTCAAAATAGGGTTCAGAATAAACAGTGCAGGCATTCCTGGCGCTAAACTAACATTTCCTCTGTTCATTAGTTACGTTTTCAGGCTTTACTAATGGATTCCATTTTGATTTTTTATTCACATTATGAATTTTTATTCAAATAAAAAAATAGAAGATTTACTGTTATGCAATATTGTAATAATTGTACAAATAATATCAGCACATTTGTGAACATATATTAGATCCACCAGCAGGCGTGTATTAGACATGTGAGGTCATTTGTTTACTCTTGAACATCGGCAAAAATTTAACATTTCCGCTACTTTGAGCTCAGTTTCAAGCCATTTCCAGTACTAAAACCAATCAAAATCTAATCTATTTCTGTAATATGTCTTCCATTCTATCAAATGAGACCAAGAAATCGCAAATACAACTATAAAAAATATACGAGAAAACACTGCAAAGTCACTGTTTTAATAAAAAATTACAGTCTCAGTTTTTTTTCTCTCATTATGCACTATGTGCTGCAGGATTTGTTTTATGTGGTGCACACATACCACATAGATGTATTCTCTCATATCAAGGCCAAAATTTACCACTCGCAGCTTATCAGAATGAGCTGAGCTCTTGATGTAGAGCTACAGTTTGGACCCTCAACGTAAAGCCGTAGATCTACGGCACGGACCCTAAAGGGGTAAGTGAGGAGAGGCTGCATTGGAACCAGCCAGTGCTAAACACACAC